GCCGATGTCTTTTCGAATTTGGAAAATCCGGAGTCCCTTGACAAACACGTCCCGTCGTATTTTTTATTTTAAAGCCTTCCCTGCTTTTCGAGAGGGGAATCCTTCCTTCTCCCAGCAGCGAGGGCAGCCTCGTGCATCCATTGCTTTGACTTGCTCGGGCTCTGCGGGGCGAGGTGCGGGTTTTACCCCGGCTCAGCTCGGGGGGGAGTTCGGAGGGGCTGGGGAGAAAGGGGGGGAGGTATCTCCTGGCACCGCCACCACCTCTTTTCGCCCTGTTTTCCCTTGAATCTGCCTCCATCCCTTTCCTCCTCCTCGCTCGCCTTTCTCGTGCAACTTTACCCAGAAAAAAAAACCCGAGCAAACAAACCAAACCCCAAATAAATGAGTGCGAGCTGGCAAGGTTCGTGCCGGGTCGGTCCCTGGGACTTGTCCAGGCTGTGCAGGGCGAGTGTCAGCGGTGACACCGCATCACTGGGGACACCCTGCCCACCCCCTGCCCGCCTCTCCGCCAGGAGCCCTCAGCGCTTCCTGAGCCCACACTTTGCCTCCTTCTTCCCAGTTTTGACCATTTCCCTGCACGTCCTCTCAGCCTCAGGAGACCCCGAGGTGATGGGGAGCTTTGGAGAGCCCAGACAAGCCATTGTTTTTTTTTTTTGGGGGGGGGGGATGTTCTGTTTCTAATAAATAAATAAATAACAATAAATAAAATAATCGTGAGAGAGTTTTTTTTGTTTTTTTTTTTTTTTTTTTTTAGGGGTTTTAATTTCTTTTTTTTTTCTGCCAAAGAAATCGCTTAAGCCCCTTCTTGGAGACTCCAAATGGGCGTGAGCTCTTTACCTACCTGTCTTTCCTTACAAAGGAAAGGTTATTCTCTCAAAATGCAGGCAGGCTACCACCGATTTTTTAACGCTCCCAACTTCTTCACTCGGTTTGGTGCAAAAAGAAAAGTTTCCAGGCGTTAGTCAAAAAGAAAAAAAAAAAAGGGAAAAAAAAAGAGAAAGATCATGTGCCCAACACACATTGTTGCTTCCTCCTGATACCAAAAGCTCTCTCTCATCCCCAGCTCGAGAGCTGAAACTCAGTCCTACGGTTTTATTTAATGAACGACACATTTATGAACAATCAAATGATCCTCGTAAAAATTTTATTGAAGGACATAAAAACATCCACGACTACTCGGCGAATAACGCAGCCTTGCAGTGCAAAAGCTCGGGCTCTCTTTCTTTCTTTCTTTCTTTCTTTCTTTCTTTCTTTCTTTCTTTTTTTCTTTCTTTTTTTTTTTTTTTTTTTTTTGTTTTTTTGGGGGGGGTGTTATTATTATTCTTCCCCCTCCTCTTTTTAAAGATGCTCCTCGTATTCTAGATATACGTATATATTTTTTCCCCCCCCTCTTCCTAAAGATACTTATTTCTTAAAGCAGGACGAGATGTGCCTGTGCCCCACAGTCCTCTCAGCTGCTGAGCAGCCTGACGAGGAGACAGCGCTGCAAAAGATGACAAAAGCCCCTTTGCTTTTAGGCTCCGAGCTTCTCCCCCCCCCTTCCCCTCCCCTCCCCAGCTCCTTCCTCCGGGTGGGGATCCCACCTCCACCGCACTTCTCCCCTCTCCCCTTCTCACCGATATTCAATTTAATGTATCCATTAGAGGCTGGAGGCTGCGGGAGGAAAAGGACAGAGATAAATTACGTCAAGAAATAGTTCCTGGGCTACCTTCCACAATTACCTTCCACCTTCTCTTAAGCATCAGGGTAAATGTCCCCCCCTCCCAGCCCGCGAGCTGAGCATCCCCCGGCCGCCGAGAGCAGCCGAGCATCCCTCCTCCCCATCTCCGCCCCATTGCCAGCGCTTTTAGGAAAAGCCGGGCGGCGTTATTAGATTAAGGGGAAAAAAAAAAAAAAAAAAAAAAAAAAAAAAAAAAAAAAAAAAAAAAAAAAAAAAAAAAAAAAAAGAAGCCCTGCGGATTGATCCAGGCGATATTTTTGGGTAAATACAATCACGTGAGGGCGGCAGCCAATGGAACAGTGGGAAAGGCTGAAAAAATAATTACCTGCCCTGATTGTTCTATGAGCAGATAAAAAGTACACATACAGTTCATACAATAATCTTATGAATGTAAAAGAGGGGGGAACCATGTCGGCTTCTGGCCCCATAAGCAACTACTATGTTGACTCCCTGATAAGCCACGAGAACGAAGAGCTCTTGGCCTCCAGGTTCCCCGGCTCTGCCGCCCACCCGGCTGCCGCCCGACCGTCAGGATTAGTCCCGGACTGTGCCGACTTTCCGTCCTGCAGTTTCGCCCCCAAGCCGGCCGTTTTCACCACCTCCTGGGCTCCCGTGCACTCCCAGTCCTCCGTGGGCTACCACCCCTACGCTCCCCAGGCGCCCGTGGGGGCCGAGCCCAGGTACATGCGGACTTGGCTGGAGCCCCTGGCCGGGGCCGTCTCGTTCCCGGCCTTCGCCCCCGGGGCTCGCCCCTACGGCCTGAAGCCCGACGCGTTCCCGGGGCGCCGGGACTGCGGCCCCGCCGACGGCCGCGGCTACGCGGACTACATGTACGGGGCTGCCGGGGAGCTGAGAGACAGAGCCGCGCAGACAATTCCTTCCCCGGAGTCCGAAGCCATCGCTTCCAGCAAACACAAAGAAGAAAAGCACGAATTAGACCCTAGTAAGTCGAAGTCATTCTTGTTTACGACCGGGGAAGGCATTACGGCTTCCAGGACCCTACTCAATAAAATGAAATTACCTTAGAGAGCCCGACCCTAAAACTCCAGATACTCAGGAAGATCTGGGGGTTTGAGCGAGTCCGCCTAGCAGAGCCGGAGAGCGAATCTCTCTACTTTGTTTCGGGCTCTTTAGGATTTTTTTCTTTATTTTCCCTTTTTTTTTTCTCCCCCTTCCTTTTTTTTTTTTTTTTTTTTTTTTTTTTTTTTTTTTTTTTTTTTTTTTTTTTTTTTTTTTTTTTTTTTTGTTGTTGTTGTTTTCCAGTGGGGGGGCTGTTGGCTGCTTTGATCAAATAGTCATCACCTTCCACCGGGGGGAATTAAAAAAAAAAAAGAAAAAAAACAACAACTAATAGAGAAAGAGAGTGCGTGTGTGAGAGGGAGCGAGAGGGGGTAGGCAGAGGGAGAAGCCTCTTTGCTTTAAAATATTTCCACTTTCAAAGGGCGAGGAAGAGTTGTAGGTGGCTGGAAGTGAACGTACTGATGTGGGGGTGTTTTTTTTTTAGGGAGGGGAAGGGAACATCTCTGGATGAACGCAGAGGTGTCTCTTTATCTATTTTAAAAATCAATAAAAGCTCCACCGGCGCAATTATTCATAAAATGCTCCCACACGTGGGAATAAAGGAGAAGGTGGGTGCCCTGGGCGGGGGGCCGGGGGTGGGGGTGCAGGGGAGTAGCGAGGAGGAAAATTGGAATTGTAAAGGCATAAACTGAGTGTGTGGAGGCAGCTGAGGGCAGAAGGCAGCGAGCGCAGGACATTGGACCATACACTTGAAGAAACATCTTCTGCAGCCCCAGCGAGAGAGGGAGGGGTGGAACTAAAAAAAAAAAACCAAAAAAACCAGCCAAAAAGACCCCCCCAAAAATCCCCGACCCGGCCATCAGGGAAACCTTGACCACTGCAGGGCGAGGAGTCAGGTAACGGCCACCAGCCCCCCCCTCGCCCTCGCCCTGCAGCACCCCAGCCCTGCGGAGGGGACCTGCGGGAAAGGAGGTCCAAAAAGCGCCGCCAAGCCACCCCCTTTTCCTGGCCGGAGCCTCCCGGAGAGGAGCTGAGCGTGCCCGGGGGCTGCTGCGGGAGCTGCCGGCGCGTCCCGCACGACCCGCAGCCCCGGGCGGGCTCTGCCGGGACCCCCCGGCCTAAAGCTGCGGGGGGATCGGCGAGCTCGGCGGGACGGCCCCGGCAGCGCCTCTGCTGCCTCCGCACCGCGCTCCTCTCCCGCCGCAAAGGCGCTGCCGCCTCTATTTATGACGCCAGGGCCGGTGCCAGGCACCCTCGTGATGAAAATAAGCCGAGGAGGAACCGGGGGGTGAAAAGTCTCCCTTGGCTGCCCTGAGAAGGGCAGAGGGGGGAAAAGCTGCTCCCCCTGAGCCGGCGGGGCCGCGGCAGCAGCGGGGAAGGTCCTTTAGGGTAAGGGGAAAACTGCATAAAAAACCCCCACCACCTCAAAAAAAAAAAAAAGCCAATTTCTCGGAGCCAGTGGGACACCTCGCGTGTCATCCTTAAGATATTAAAAAAACAAACTCTGCTTTCCAGGTCTGGGAAAGCTTCTAGGGGGAAGTATTGGAGAGCTGAGGTTGTAAAAAGAGTTTATGGGCCTATGAAATGGTGGGAATTTTGACTTTTTATGACTATGTTCTTAGATTACTGCTAGCAGCAGTCATGTGGATAATTATTATTTTAAACCCGTTGCTAGAGTTTTATTTACTGAAACTTTTATGTGAGAACAGCAGCAAAAGAAAAGGAAATGACCCCTCCAGAATAAACAGATTAAACTCTCCTGAAGGTCACTTAAAATATTTAGGTAAGATCTGCTAATTAAACAGGTTTCTGTCCATAGATACACCAGGGCGTGGAGGGGGGGAGGGAAGAAAGGCCAGCTGTATACATTGATTTTTTTTTTCCCCCTCCCCCCCAAAAAAAAATATAAAAATCTTCTTTCTCAGACAATCCCGTCGCAAATTGGATTCACGCGCGCTCCACGAGGAAGAAAAGATGTCCTTACACAAAGTATCAGACCCTGGAACTGGAAAAAGAGTTTTTATTCAATATGTACCTTACACGGGACCGGAGGTACGAAGTAGCCAGAGTCCTTAATCTCACTGAACGCCAAGTCAAAATCTGGTTTCAGAACAGGCGAATGAAAATGAAGAAAATGAATAAAGAAAAAACCGATAAAGAACAGCAATAAAGTTGGCAAAGTCCAGTCATTGAGAAACGAGGGTGGAGAGACAAAAAAAAAAAAAAAGAAAAAAAAAAAGAAAAAAAAAGAGGAAAAAAAAAAAAGAGGCTGTTTTTGGGGGTTGAAATGTTTCTGACTTTGAATGTGCGGATGAATGTTTAGCATTAGAGGCAAACGCAGCAAGCGTTTGGGGACACGAGTCTTTTCTAAAATGCAACTAAATAAAAGAAAGATGTTCGGGGGGTTTGTTTTCTCTTCCTTTCTTCTGCCTTGTTTTTTGTCCTCAGAAAACAAACACGAGAAGTACTTGAATTATTTTTTTTTTATTATTATTATTATTAGTATTTTATTTCATAAATTAAACTTATCCGGTATTTTTATTTTTTAATCCCGCGAGCTCGTGAGCGAATATTTTGTACAAAAGAAAGGAGAAAAAAAAAAAAGGAGACAAAAAAAAAGGAAAAAAAAGAAAAAAAAAAAAGGACTGAAGGGAATATGGCTCGATGATGTTCTGTCATGGTGTTGAACGTTTCTGCTGTACTTATTTGTGTATTTTATTCTCGTCTCAGAACCGTTCTGTAATATTGTTATGTTCGCTATTGTAGAGCAGCTCTGTGTAAATATACCTAACGTCACGGGAGAAAAAACATAAAAACAAAAAAAAAAACAAAACAACGAAACGACAACAAGAAAACAAAAACAAAAAAAAGAACAAAAATCGGCATGTATGTGTCTTTTTCTTTCGAGCCCCTTGGCGGAGGAGCAGCCCCGGGGGCTCGGCCGGGGCCGGTGCATCGCGGGGGGACCGAGAATCCAACGCGGCCCGAGGAGAGCGGAGATGTCCGCCTCCTTCGCCAGCACTTTTCCCTTCCAAAGTACCGGCAGAAAAAAAAAAAAAAAAAAGGCGCTGAGGTAAGGGTTGTACGTGCCAGCATGTTTTAAATGGGATAATTAATTGTACTAATTTACGAACGCAGGCAATCGACAGATATGGTGGAAAAAAAAAAAAAAAAAAAAAAAGGCTAAATGTGGATGCTGGGAAAGAGAGGAGCTGGCAAAGGCAGCCGCTCCCTGCCGTCCGCTCGGGGGGAGCGTCTGCCTGGGCCGGGGGGGTCTCTCCGGACCTGGAGGGGCGCGAGGAGGCGGAAAAAATAATATATATATATATATAGAAATGTCTGGGGTGGGGAAGAGCCGCGGGCAGAGCGAGGGAGGACGAAGAAAGAAATACGTGGTGGCGATGCGCCGGCAAATTTTTAGGGCTAAAAGGCCAAAAAAATAAAGCAGAGGCACAACCTCTTCCCCCCCCCCCCCCCCCCTTTTCCTTCGCCCTGCACGGAGGAGATTATAAAAAAAAAGGGGGGAGGGTTGTTGGCTGAGAAAAGGTCAAACCCCCCCCGTCCTGCCAAGGGCTGGGGCTGCCGAGGCGAGAAAAGCCGCTGCCCGGAGCGCCTGGAGCCGGGACCAGCTACGGCCCCTTCCCCGGGCGCTTCCCGGGCTGCTGAAGGAGGAACGAGAGGCAGGAGATTGTATAAAAAATGAGCAGCGAGGGATGTTTAATCATAAAAACTTGTTATAGGGCCCTTTCTTTAATGAAATGAGTGGAGCAGCGTTTTAATCTTTCTAATCAAAACCAGAGCGGGCGGGCGAAATGCGTTTTGTCGCCCTCGTCCCGGTTCCTCCGAAATAAAAAAATCTGGAAGCGATTACTTCTGCTGATCTCGTAAAATATCGCTCTTTAATATTTCTCGCTGCAGCGTTTGGAGGTTTCTTTTCCTTCCCCCTGATTTGTGTCCTCGCTCTCAAAAGCGGGGGCTCTTTTTTATTTTTTTTTTTTATTTTTTTGTCGCCGGAGGGGGACAGGGCGCACCCGCGGGGTATCAGCGGACACATCCCCGGAGCGGGGGTAGCTAAAAAAAAAAAAACAAACCCTTTTACAATCCCAGTTTTGTGTTAGGTCTGCTCGGGGGAAAAAAAACAACAACAACAACAAAAAAACCCCAACAACAACCCGACCTTAACGAGCGCAATGAAATGGTCAGGTTAGAAAACATTTTAGCGGAGCAAAGAGATTTATGGACCGAAAAATAAATAAATAAATAAATAAATAAAAAAGGAGAAGGGGGAAGTCTTTCCACGTATGTCATGCCAAATCTTTTTTTTTTTTAATTATTATTA